ATGTCGTGCGGCCGCGCGGTTCCGGGATCTGGATTTTATAGTCTCTGAGTCTTGGCCGCTGATGGGATTACACGGCGCCAGGGGGCCAGGTGGTGGGTGTGACCCCCGCCTACTGGAATTTGGAGGATCTGGGTGGAAGATGCTCGACTCCAATTCGAGTAGGCTTGGAGGTCTCGGCCCCGGAACCCGCGTGGCTTTGTCCCTCTGCCAGTACCTTCAGGTGTGCGGAGAGTGGTCTCAGCATGGTGGTGGCTGGTCCTGGAGGTCTCCGGCTGCCGTAGCCCTGGCCGGGGCGGGGAGGAAAGCTCAACCCGCTCCCCTCCAAGGGACTCCGGGAAGGAACACCGAGGCGCGGGGGCAGTTATGAGTTTATTACTTATAATCTGGTAGGACATAATTCAAAAATACGAACCCACAGACACTAGAATATAGGCTGAAAAACGACACAGGAATTCAAATTTGTTCCAGTGTTACCTCCCTGAACCCCCTATCTAAAATACCATCACAACCTTTTTTAAATCACCAGTACTTTACTCTTTCTTTGTTGCATTTTCCAAGACTGACATATCTTACTATCAGACCATCCTAATAATATATAAGCTCCATAGGAATGGGAATTGTTACTTATTTATTTTGGGGTTTTAGGGCCACACCCTGCTAATAAGCTCAGGGCTCACTCCTAGCTCTGCACTGCAATGGAGACCAAGTGTGCCTGGGATCAAATGCAAGTCTCCAGCACTCAAAACATAAACTCAGCACCTAGAGTTTTCAGTACTATCTCCTCAATCCCAATAGCTAAAACCCCAAACTGAAAATTCAAGAACCCAAAGACAAAAGAGTAAAGATGTGACAATATACACACAATGGAATCCAATTTAACCATTAAAAAAATTAAATCTTGCCTTTAGTTACAACACAGAACTGAAGGGTATCAGACTAGCAAAATAACCAGAGGCAATCATACTAGGAAAAAAGTTGAAGGGGAAAATAAGTACCAGATGACTTCACTCAGGTCGCACTGTAGCACTGTCCTCCCGTTGTTCACCGATTTGCTCAAGTGGGCCCAGTAACGTCTCCATCGTGAGACCTATTGTGACTGTGGTTGGCATATCGGATACGTCACAAGTAGCTTGCCAGGCTTTGCCGTGCAGTGCGGGTGAAATACTCTCAGTAGCTTGCTGGGCTCTCCGAGAGGGGCAGAGGTCCACCACGTGCAAGTCAAAAGCCCTACCCACAGTGCTATCGCTCCAGCTTCATTCAGGTAGTTAAAAGAAATGAATGATATTCAGTGAAAAGAAACCCTTTGACCACAAAACTGACACTACTAAGATGGGGAGAGGGAAGTTGAATGATCAGGTCCCAGTGGACTGCAGTTGGAGGGAAATCAGCAATTATAGTTAATCTTATAAATAAACATTATCTCAATAAAAGACTACTGTCACAAATCTAGATCAGTCTTTCTCAACCTTTTTCTGACTGTGGCCTCCATCCAACCCGTCCTGTATACCAACCTGCCCATCATTTTCCAGTTGACCTCCTAGACTCATGCCACTGCCCAACATTTATGCAATTTTCAGTCCTTAGTATATCCTGGGGACCCACATGGAGCCATATGGCCCCAGGATGAGGAATTGATTATATGAAAAGGACAAATTCCTGAAAAGATTCAATTCACCAAAATTCACCACCTGAGAGGCTAAAGAGATAGTACAGCTTGTAATGTGCTTGCTTTGAACAAGGCCAACCCCAGTTCAATCCCCAGCACCCCATATGGTCACTGGAGCAACTCCATTAGTGAATGATCCCTAAACACAAAGCCAGGAGTAGCCCCTGAGCAGAGACAAGTGTGGCCCAACCCTCACCACCCCCACCCCACACACACACACTCTGAATCAATTCATAACCTTCCAAATAGAAAATACCAAACTCAGATAGGATTCAATGAGTAATTCTACCAAATAAATTACACTTGTGTTCTACAATCTCTAGGAATAAATACTTAACCCATTCTACAAAGTCAGCAATACTACAACACCAAAACCAGACATTACTAGGAAAGTTATGAATCCATTTGTCTCATGAACAGAAATGCAAAAATTCTGAACAAAATACGGGCAAACCCATCAAGTGGGAATCTGAGGCTAGTTCCACATAAAATAAATCAAGTAATTGGGAGTCAGATGTCTCAGTGGCTAAAACCCCTGTTTCACAAACTTGAAGCCCTAAGTTTAAATTCATGGCATACTGTAAGGACTAAATGTAATAAGCCTGTTTGTAACTCTGCTATCTATGATCTCCACAACACACTTGATTTCTGGCCACACTGTAGCCAGGATTGAATCACAGTAATGGGTGCAACAACAGAGAGCCTCCCAACTGGATATGCAATGACCATAACCTGGAGTGCAACCCAAGAAGAGCACAGGGGTAAGTACTGTGATGACTCCATGGAAGCCTTCAACCAGGCCATCCATTGACTTCACAACTAAAGAATATGATGCCCCCAAACAAACAGTGCAAAAGGAGTGGCACTCCAGGAGAGTTCCACCTAAGGACACATGCGATCAACCCAATTCTCTGCAGAGCCTGAAGCATTACCAGGACTGACCCCAACCCAACCCAAAAAAGCAAAAATAAGGACCATACTATGAGGAATTTAGGCTAGAGGGAAAGGCCATGGCTTTGACCTTGGCAATGCAGAAAATCATTTTTAATGGAAAAAGGTATAGGAGATAGTACAGTGATTAGGGTGAATGCATGACATGTATCTACAGCTTTCCAGCAACTTCATGGTACCCTGAGCACAGCCAAGTGCAGCCCTGGAGACCCACCACCACAAATCTCCAACGCAGCGAGGTATGGCTCAGAAGGTCCTCAGCACCCTGTTAGCAGCTTTGCAACCTGAAATTCTAGCACTGAACCTCAGTCCAGTCAGCCAATAACCATCGGTAGGCCCCAGATCTCCTGAACACCACTGAGTTAAACAATTATTAACACAAATATTAGCAACACAACAAAGAAAGCACAAATCCTATCCTCCGATTATGTTCTTACTTGTCATTCTAGGAAACAGCATGAGTTTAACTTGGTTCAATACAAAACTACTTCTTCTGATACTGCAGGGTTTGTACTCAAGACCTTACTCGTAAATGCCCAACTGCCCAGCCACTGCACCGGCTATACTCTACCCCTTGAAATGGCTGAGAGGAGTTCTTCATCTAGTAATTAAAGAATATTGAAAACAAGTTCACATTCGGATGCTTGCAAACTAATTTTTCTTAATGTTTTGTGGCAACACCTGGCAACAGGCAGCACCACCAGGGCTATACCAGGTGAGGTTCAAGGGGCCATGTATTACCAGGAGTCAAAACCAGGGCATGTGGTCCAGTCCTTTGAGCTACTTCCCCTGTTCAAGAAATGAAAACTTTTAATTATCCTCTTACTCCAACGTTTCTGACCAAGGAGTCAGAGACTGAGTTCACATATAAGAAAGAAATGGGGATCTGAGCTGTGGCTCCAGACTCTGTCAAATTATTGTTACTTCAGGTCAAACACTGTTCGAAAAACCTCATTCCTTTGGTGAAATGGTGGATAAAGGAGTGGCTGATAAGCCGATCACTTGCGCTTGTGACTTCCCCCATCTTTGTCAATTTCACGAGGGGGGGAAAAAAGGTGTGTGGGTATGTGGGGGGGGGGGGGAGAGGACTCAAATCCAAACTGCATTATTCACCTCGGTTTAAACATACCCCGCAAGCTAGCGGGTAGAATGCAGGAGGAACCACAATTTTAAAACAGACTTGTTTCACGTCCAATGAAGTTTTGGGGTGGTTCAAAAACAGTCATCCAAGACAACACAGCACCCGCCCCTGAAACAGCAGAAAGCTACAGCGAAATTTCAAGGCAGAATCTCCTCCAGCTTGAAGACTCGAAATCTCTTAACCAACCCCAAGGGAAACGAACCAGACACCGGTGAACTTCACAAGAACGTCCCCACCCCCACCCCGTGACCCCTAGACTAGAGTAAGAGTTCAAGGTTAAGAGAAACCTGTCCTCCCTCCCCTACGGACACCTTCACCTGTCGGTGTGGTGGAAACCCGGAACTTAACTGCCAAGTTAAGCACTACCCCGGTCCCTAAATGAGCCCGGGCAAAGATTCTGGGATGCCCTCCCGGTTCCCCTAAGAGAAACTTAAGACCGAACGTGCAACTCGGGCCACCCCATCCCCCACCCCGCCGCCCCGGTTCTGTTGCGTAAATGACCAGCGGGGCTCACAACACAACCTGGCACTCCCTATCAGGCCGAGACCCTCGGAAGACCCTTGTCCCAGAACTCGGGAGCACCCAGCTCGCCCTCAGAACCTTCCTGCTCTCATAACGCACCGCTGGCTGGGTCTCGCTAGCCGTTGGTACCTGTCTCTCAAGAGACACCCCGCCCGCCCCTTTCTGCCAACCCCTGAAACCCGTGCAGCTCCGCGGCTCAGGGCCTTCCCCGACAGCCCCGGCGGCTTCCCCCGCGCTCTGGCGGCCTATTCCTCCCGAACTGAGTCTCTCCTCAAGCCTCCTCGGGCCGGGCGGGCGGGCGGGCGGGCGGGACGGGCAGGCGCCGGGGCCAGGGGGATGACAGGTGCTGATGCCCTGACGAGCACGCTGATCCCTTGGCTGTGCGCGGGGGAACGCGACGGCCGTTTCCTACACGCCGGGAGTGAAGGTGACCAAGTGGCCAAGGTCAACCGCGACCCCCGGGCGCCGCGGGCCCAGACGGACAGACCGGGCAGCTCTCCGGCCGGCGGGGATGGAGGCGGCTTCCTCCGGAGCCCGAGAGCGCGGGCGCGGGCGCAGGGGTGTGTGTGGCGTGTGTGCCGGGGTGTCCCGCCCGCGGCTTAGCCCACTGCGCCAACCCGCTTCCCCCTCGACGGGGCACCCGGCCGACTCCTATCACCAGGCTGGCTGAACCGGCGCCTTCCTCCCCACCAGCGTCCCCCCGGCCCTCGCCGAACTCACCATGGCGTCAAGGACACGGGAGGTGCACCAGCCGGCCTGGACTCTGCGGAGCCGTCCGGACGGCCAGTCCCGAGGCAGCCGCCAGGAACCTCTAGAGCCCGTGAGAAAGAGGGTCTTCCGGCCCCGCCGGAAGTGCTCCCGCGCGGGACAGGAAGTCCCGCCCCTTTCCCGAGCGCCGCGACCCCACGCCACGCAGAGGTGAGGCGACGCAGAACGTCCTCTCCAGCCGCTTCCGTGGGTGCTAGGTTAGGGGTTCGGGCTGGTGCTGACCTTGAGCGTGCGCAGGAGAGGCAGGCGCAGGCGCAAGCTGGTTTTGAGGGGGAAGGGGGTGGGGGTGGGGGGGGCAAAGGCGCGCCACTGCTGCGCCTGCGAGACTCCCGAGGTATGTTGGGTGGTTGGGGCCGGAGCGCATCCTCCTCGCTCGAGGTGGGGGGTGGGGGTGGAGGCGTAGATTGGTAAATCGGGTGGGGGCTGCCCGGGACCCACGTTATCTAGAGAAGGGGGAAGTGACTGTACAGGTGGGCGCCGGTTGGCAGCACCCGGCCACTGCGGCACTCGAGCCACGCCCCTATGTCCTTTTTTTTTTTTTTTTTTTTTTTGGCCGTCGGCTTCTCTTGGCGGGCCCTTAGGACACTTTGAGGAGCGCCACGCGCGTGTTCCTCGTCGGCTCCCCGCGGGGCTGAAGTAGCAGCTCCAAACGCTGCTCTCCCTCTCCTTCCAGCCAGTGCGATTGGATGGTGCCAGGTTTTTCCCTGTGTAGTTGAACCGCAGCCGGAAAGACATCCTCCAAGAGCAGAGAAGCCAGGAAGAGAAGACTGCCAGTTTAATACATTCCACAGTGCACGGTTCCCTTTCGTTTCACATGTATCAGTTAGAAAAGGGTGGAACTTCCGAAGACCTCTTTCCATGCTTGTATCTCTCGCCTCTCTTCCCTGCCCGGTGTCAACTCTGCGTTTCATTGGACGATGCTGGAGTCGTATTGGCTCTAAAGGCATATTCCCGTTTCCCTATCCCAAACAGGGCACCTTTCCAGTTCACCTTTGCAGTTTTCCCGGTCCTTAGGTAATCCGTGGGTTGAGCTGCAGTTTCATCTGAGATCTTTTTTTTTTTTTTTTTTGCTCCGCCCCTCTCGGAGATCCTGGCAAGCTACCGAGAGTATTCGATATGCCAGACACAGTAACAACAAAGTCTCCAATGGAGACGTTACTGGGCCCGCTCGAGCAAATCGATGATCAATGGGAGGGCCTTTACCTTTACCTTTACCTTTGCTCTTAGTGTCTAGTGGGAAGGCCAGTGTCTAGTTACGCCATCCAGCCAAGAAAACTTGGAAATCAGAAATTATGAAGGTTGTACAGGCTGGGAGCCATCCAAATTTTTGCAGAGGGCCAAGAGTAAAAGTGGTGGAATCGTTCTGAGCAGTGGAAAAGCTGCACGCTTTAGGGTAACTGCATGGTGCTACAAATGGGCCTAGGGGCTGGTTTTTAAAGTGGCGGGAGTGGCATGCCTGTGAGGGGCTATGGGAATCTTAAAGACCAACTTGAGGTGGAGTTGGGCAATTGTTCATCAGAGCCCAGCTAATGTCCAAGCCAGAACTTCCCTGAAGATTCCTCGTCTGTTGTATAACAATATGTTGTAAATGAGCAAGGCCCCAGGCAAATGCTGATGGAATTTGGGATGAAGAGGAATTGGGTTTCTGGTGTATCTGTGAGAAGCAGCTAATAATTTGGGGGAAGACAGGGTGGTAAAGGAAAGTAGCTTTGAGCCACCATTTATTCTTTCCTTTCCTTTCTGAGGCTATTTACACCCATTCTAAACCTTGAGATTCTTCTTTGGTAGAACTGGAACTACCTGTAAGGTGTGAAGTCTGTTCCTAGAAGAGTGAAATCGCAAATGGAAATCTCAGACCACATCTATTACCTGTTTACATTTTTTATGCTTCTTCCTGTGTTTTTATTTGGTGAATGAGAAGTTGGTGAATTTCTCTTAACTATCCTCCAGTGTTCTTAGTTCTCTGACAAACTAAAAAAAGTCCATTGTAAAAAAATTTTTGAAGATTAAAATGCAGCCAATATATGATTTTTTTGTTTGTTTGGGGCTTTTTTTGAGGGTTGGGGCTGTTTGGGAACCTGGGCAGTGTTCAGGAATTACTCCTGGCGGTGCTCAAGGCCACCATATATGGTGCCAGAGTTTGAATCAGCTACACTGTCTTAAATCTCAAGACCTTTGTCTGCACAGAATAAATACAATGTTTGTATTGGTTGTATTCCTTGAAATTGAGGGATTTACCTATTTATTTGAGGTGGGAATCAACAAGAAGAATAAGGGAAATTATGAGGTGCAGGGTGAGATGTGGATAATGGAGATTTAAAACAAAGTTGGTAGTTTGGGAAAGGGAATTGGGAATCCAGTCTTTGAGAAAGAGTCTTTGCTTGCTTACTCTGAAAGCTTTGTAATGTGTTAAAATGTTGGATCTTAATTTAGAACCATCAAAAAGTCTCAGCACCCACTCCAACCTGTAACATCTTTTACCTCTGTACTTTGATTCCATTTTAGCTACAGTCGCTAAAATGGTGTTGCCACCATTATGCCCAAGGACATCCAGCTGGCATGGTGCATCTGTGGAGAGAAAGCATAAAGTTTAGATGCTAAAATCTCAGGGCTGGGACAAATGGAGACCCTACTGGAGCCGGCTCGAGTAATCGATGATTAATGGGATAACAGTGACAGTAACTTTGATTCCAGGTCTAGTTCCTGTTCTTTGTTTTTGTAAAATGTCTTTTCTGATTAGCTCTTCCTCTAAGAACGTGTAGCTACTTTTCTTACCTTTAATAAATATTCTATACTTTCTTATATGATCACTTTTAGATCCCCCACTCCCAAGGTTTTTTTTCCCCCCAATTAGACAAATGCTAGGATAGCTAGAGCTTTTTTGTGAGTGTTGTGTGTGTTGTGTGCCCACCCCCTTTAATTTTTTCACTTAAATTGCCCTTAAAATATTTTATGGACAAAAGTATTATTTGTACGAATACAAATAATGTTACAAAGTTAAAGGAATTCTTAACAGATCAGCAATGTATCAAATTATATTCTATATACTTAATAATAAATGGCTGGAGCGATAGCACAGCAGTAGGGCGTTTGCCTTGCGCAGCCGGTCTCTGCCCCTCTCGGAGAGCCCAGCAAGCTACCGAGAATATCTCGCCCTCATGGCAAAGCCTGGCAAGCTACCCTTGACGTATTCAATATGCCAGACATAGTAACAATAAGTCTCACAATGGAGACGTTACTGGGCCTGCTCGTGCAAATCAATGAACAACAGGACAGTGCAGTGCTACAGTACGTACTTAATAAAATACTAGCTATTTTGTAAAAGCTCTTTTACTGAAGTTTTAAATGGAAAATGTTTATTTACTAAGTTAATGAGCAGGATATAAAATTGTGACCAGTATGATTGCTTTGATGTGAAAAAAGTCTTAAGCATAGAGCGGAGTAAAAGAAAAGTATTGCAAACTGATAGATAGGGGACATTGGTAATGAGTTTTTGAGAGATAATAAAACTTAAGAAATTGCCTAGCTTTGAAGCAGCCCAAAGGCATGAAGAACTCATCCCTTTTCAAATGTAAATCCTGAGTTCTTTGGAGAGGATTATCTGAGACAGGACCTCCAGATGGATGGACTGGACCCCTCAGTAAAGAAGAAGCTACTAGAGAGTCTAAAGGTCATGATAAAAATATTAAAGGAATAGTGCTGCAACGAACATATAAGTGCAGATGGTGTTTCTGCTATGTTTTGGGGGTCCAGGGTATGTCCTAGAAGTAGTATGGGTCAAAAAATGGGAACTCAATTTCTAGCTTTTTGAGGAATGTCCAAATTGTTTTCCAAAAAGGCTGGACCAGTCAGCATTCCCACCTGCAATGAGTTAAGAGTCCCTTTCTCCCCACATCCACGGTAGCACTGGTCTTGTTCTTCTGGGTGTGTGCTAGTCTCTGTACTGTGAGATTATATCTCGTTTTGATTTGCATCTCCCTGATAACTCATGTTGTAGAGCGTTTTTTTGTGCCTTTTGACCACCTGAATTTCTTCTTTCAGGAAGTTTCTGCTCATTTCTTCTCCCCATTTTTTTTGATAGGGTTGGATGTTTCTTTCCTACAAAGTTCTTGTATGCCTTTGATATTAATCCCTTATCAGATGGGCTTTGGGTGAATAATTTTTCCCATCCTATGGGCTCTCTTTGCATCCTGGTCAATGCTTCTTTTGAGGTGCAGAAGCTTCTTAGTTTCATGTAGTCCCATTTGTTTATCTTTGCTTCCACTTGCTTGGTCAGTGATCTTTCACCTTGCAAGATGCCTTTAGCTTCAGTGTCATGTAGGGTTTTCCCTACATTTTCTTCCTTGTACCTTACGGATTCACATCTGATGTTGAGGTCTTTAATCTATTTTTGATCTGACTTTTGTACATGTCTTTAGAGCTCTGAGTTGATTTTTTTACATATCGCTGCTCAATTTTCCCAATACCAGTTGTTAAACAGACTTTCCTTGTACCACTTCGTATTTCTTACTCCCTTATGAAAGATTAAATAGACAGAATCTCGAAATAACCTGAGTGCCTGAGAACAGATGACTAGATAAATAAATTATGGTACATCTATACAGTGGAATACTACGTAGCTGTTAGGAAAAAAGTCATGAAATTTGCTTAAAAATGGATGGACATGAAGAGTATCATGCTGAGTGAAATGAGTCAGAAGGAAAGAGAGAATGACTGTATTCATTTGTGAAATTTTTTTTTAAGTGTGTGAGACTTAATACCCAAGGCCAGAGAAAACAGGGGCCAGGAGGACTGGTCAGTGGTTGGAAATTACCACAAATGTGATATGTTGGGGGTGCAGGGCAGTTAGGATAGAGAGGGGACCAGTATGACATTAATAGTTGGAAATGTGTGAGTGTGTTTGTGGGTGGAAGTGGGGGGGAGGGGAAAGAAATGGTTTTTGGGAGAAGGTTATATACAATTTCTCCAAAGTGTCTTGACCTGGCATTCTCTGCATGCATAAAAGTTAATCTGGATATTGTCACAGGGAAATAGCTTGGACTATAGTCCTATGGTTTAGGTTTTTGTTCTGGCCA